TGTGTGTGTGTGTGTGTGTGTGTGTGTGTGGTGTGCAGGGCAAGAGTGACACATGGCACATGAGCCAAGTCTGGATTGTGATTTGTTTTTGTGAGTCTTGAGAGCTAAGACTATGTTTTGTTTTCTTTTGCTATTTTCGTACATCAACCTAAAGAATCTATTTGAAGAATTAACAAAAAAACGGTACAGGCAAGTGAAAAAGAATTAAAAATAACTTTCTAAAGTTATCTTTGTCAACATGATTCTTTCAACAGGACGCCCCTCAGGAATCAAGATGTAGTTTCTTTTTAACAGACAACTTATTTTCAGAAATAGTAGACTTACAGAAGAATTTCAAACACGATAAGGAGAGGTCCCACATACATTTCAGCTACTTTTTCCTACATTTAACATCTTAAATAACTATGGAAAAATCAAATATAAGGAAAAGGGATTAAAATTTTAAAAGGAGAGAATGGAAGAAAAGATGGAAACAAATTGGGAAAAGGAAGGAAGGTTGAAGATAGGGGTGGAGAATGGGAAAAAAGAATCAAGATATATTATGTACAGGTACAAATTCCCTATGATGAATGTGATCATTATGTATGGAAAATATATACTAATAAAATAAATAATAAAAATAAGAAGTTGAGACAACATGACTGAACTGAGGAGGAGCCTCATTCAGAACTACCCAGAGAAAGTCAACTAAAAACATAGGTAACTGGAAGAAAGGGGAGAGACACACAGCCTGAAAAAAACTAAGACATGAACTTAAATATAATGTTATTGACCAAAGTACAGAACTTACTCAGATTTCATTAGTCTTTCCAAGGATGTCTTTGCTCTCTGATCCAGTTCAAGATTCCAAATTGCATGTCGTATCTCTTTAGAGTCTTCTGAGCCCCAAGAACTTTCCTTTCTTTCTTTGTCTTTCATGTCCTTGTTACTTGAGTTATACCAGTTAGTTCCTTTGCAGACTATCTCTCCATTAGTGTTTGCTTGAAGTTCTCTTGTGATCAGACTGAGAGGGGTGTATTGTGCATCTGGGGCAAGAACACCAGAGAGGTGCTGAACCCTCCTCACTGTATTGTATCTGGATACAGCATATGGTACCCGTAGTCATTAAGGGTCCCATTAACCTCATCATCTGGCTAAGCTGCTGACTGCCAGGATTCTCTGTTACCACCTTACCGGCCTTCCTTTTGACTAAATATGTTGGGAAAGATAATATTAAAACCAATATCCTGTTTCTGTCCAGTACCCATTCCTTTTAACATTCATTGGTAATTTTTTTTCCCCTGAGACAGTTGTCATTATGGCTTTCTAATCTTTTTTGAACTATTCAGTTTAGAAATTTTCCCTATTTCCATTATTAAGTCTACTTTTATTCATGGGAATTCTTCTAGAATAAAGAGTTGTTGCTTCTTTCCTATTTAAGGCAGGAAATTGAAAGGGTAGACATAGATTATGTAATCAGGGCAGACCTGCAGGATATAATGCAATACCATCATCTCTTGATAATATTTTACTGTAAAGACAGACAAGACACACGCAGGAAATGGAGAATCTTACAGTTGAAGCAAAACATGAATGTGGAGCTAGGGCAAAGATGGCAGATTGGGGATGTGAGCAAGAGTGTGCCTGGCGATGGCCATTAAAGAATATAGAGCTGCTGGTTAGAGACAGAGGGATGTGTAAGGTTCCAAGAATATGAGTGGAAAAGGCTAAGCAGCAGGTGGATGGCAACTGGATGCCCACATCACTACCCGAAGACTCTAAGTGAAAGTTGGCAGGGCCAGTGAAGAAATTCTGGAAGGAATAGAAATTAGATCTCATTGGGGATTAGGATTGAGCTTGGAGAAATCAGGTAAAAGCAAGCAAAGAAGCCAGGCAAATGTGATGGGTCTGGAAACCAAAATATTAGTTGTTATCAGTACTTTTTTTTTTTTTTTTATTGAGAAGGGTCAGAGAGTAAACAGTTCAGACTTTGTGGGCTGTATGCTGTCTGTTCAACCATTAAACTCTGCAGCTGTTATTAGAACGTGGCCCTAGACAATACATAAAGGGATGGGCATGGAAAGATTTGATTTGCAGTGGGCAGATTTGACCAGTGGATCATACACTGCCAAATCTGAAACAAATGAGGTCAGTATGCCCTCAGGCTGAAACGCTGTTGAGGCAGTATATAATTTACCTCTTGATCAATCCTGTCTTTACTTACGTAACTCCCATGGGACAGGAAGCTGAAAAATAGCTACAATTACTTAAAACAATGAATAAAGATTTTGGGAGTTCTGATTAGTGAGAAATCTTTAACTTACTTTTAGTTAATACTTTTATTTAGATAAAGGTGTAAGCGTTATTTTGGAATTTAGTCAAATTACTTATGTTTATAATATGTGTTCCTAAATTAGATGCATTATATGCATATCTGAAATTAGATTTTATAAGTACTTTAAGGTTTCTTAAGATGTTTTGAACCAAATTGAATAGAAATCATTCATTAAATGGCCTCTGTCTTTTGCTTACTAAAATGATCTTACATCCTGCATTTCCTTGTGGATGACATGGCTTACATTCTTCTTTTTTTAGAGATAAAACTATTTATGGATTTATTATTTTAAAGAAATATTTTAAAAAAGAAAAATCCAGAAGCAAGCAAAAAACAAAAAAAAAAATCATCTAAAGCAAAGTTACAGCAGCAGCAGCAACAACAACAACAGAAACAACACCAAACGACACTAGCTATATAGGTTTTTAAAACAAGATAATAGGAATTTAACAGTGGTTGTTATATTGCATATTGTTATCTTCAAAACAGTTGCTCAGGTTATCAGATACAGAAATAAAACAGTAAAATGGAATGAAACACTGCATTTCCAAAACAAAACAGAAAGAAATCCCCCACAGTTGCCATAATGCATATTGTTATCCTCCAAATAGATGCTCAGACTACCAGCTTTAGGCTTGCAAAATTGATCAAACAACACAAGTATTAAATTATTATTATTATTTTATGATCTTAGCTTGACTTCCTCCAAATTAACCTGTTGCTTACCAGATGGGGGTGAGTGTCGCCCTTCTTGTCTCCCAACCTGCACACTGGCTAGCTTGCTGGAAGCTGTGGTTTGGCTTCCTGATTCTCGTCCTATTCCCCATGGTGGCTGCCCTTGGCTCATTCTTCTTCCTGGTTGAGTAATACTCTACTGTGTATGTGTATATCACATTTTTTTCTATCACTCACCCATTGGTGGGCACCTAGGCTGTTTCTATATGTTGGCTATAGTGAGTCGTACGACACAAACATGGATGTTTAGAGATCACTACGGTGTACTAACTTCAGTTTCTTGGTATGGAATAAGGATTGGTAAAGCTGCATCCTAGGGTAAATTTTTTTCTTTAGCTGTACTGGAGATTAAAACTAGGGAGTGCTAAACTACATCCTCAGCCCTTTTATAAATTTTATTTTGAGGCAGGGTATTTTTAAGTTGCATACACAGGCTTCAAACATATTATTTTTTATGAAAAAGTGTATTATGAAAAAATTTTATGAAAAAAATTTCACAACAAAATAAGAGAATAAATAAGAGAATAAGATGATACTCTGTATCATCTTCAAAGTGGTTAGAGTCAGAAAAAGTCAGTCTCTTACAAAGAAGAAATAAATTTAATAGTATAAATTTTCTTTTTGTTGAACTAAGAGAAATTAGAATTAAATGAAGAAATTAGTATATATATTAAAATTTTTTTTGAAAAAACAGAATAGTTAATTTAAAGAATTACTTGAACTTATCCCTACTTCCTATTTGTCTATCTTGTATTTTACCTTTTATTTATGTAATGTATTTTGAATTCCTCATGTAAGAGAAACCATGTGATATTTAAACTTATGCATCTGACTTATTCCACTAACCATTATGTTCCACTAATCATCAAGTTGCATTCATTTATCTATAAACCCCTCAAGGTTACCTTTTTTTTGTGGCAGAGTCTTACTTTAATGTACCCAAATACCCCATTTTCCTTATCCATTCATCTGCTAATGGACAAATGTGGTTTCCATGACGTAGTTATTATAAATTATATTGCTGTAAACATGGGTATGTATGTATCCTTGTGATACAATCATTTCAAGTCTTTTGGGAATACATTAGAAGGAAAGTAATAGGGTCAAATGGAATTTCTATTTTTAATTTTCTGAAGAACCTCCATACTGATTGTATTAGTTCGCATCCCCACCAACCATGTGGAAGTTTCTTTCTCCCCATGACCTTGTCTGGAACTTGTTAATCCTCCTCTCACAGCTTCCAGTGCACCTAGGGTTATTGTGAGTATGCACCAACATATCCAGCTTATTTTTAGGTATTTAATGAACTTCATGTTGATTTACAGGGATGGCTATACTAATTCACATTTCTACCAACAGCGTACAGGGTGCATTTCCCCCTTCATCTTTAGCAGCATTTATTGTTTCCAGTGATTTTTATAATAATATCCCTATCTGACTAGGGTGACATGAAATCTCAGTGTAGTTTTGATGTTCATTTCCCTGATTTTGGAAGTTGTTGAACATGTTTTCATATAACTGTTGGCCAGTATGTTTTTACTTTGGAGAAATGTCTGTTTAGTTTATTTTCCCAGGTACTGAGTGAATTACTTGTTCCTTTGCCACATTTCGTGAAATCTTTATATATTCTGATATTAATCCTCTGCCAGAAGAGGAGCTGGAAAAGACTTTCTCCTAGTTTGTAGGCTGTTTCTTCTTTCTGTTAATTCCACCCTAATAATGTGCAGAAACTTTTCATTTTGGTGCAGTCCCATTTGTCAGTTCTAGTGATTATTTCCGGAACATTCAGGAAACTGTTACCTGTGCCTGTATCTTGAATTCGTTTCTCTGTGTTTTCTTTTTGTATTTTCAAAATATCTGGGCTTAAATTTAGATCTCTGATTCATTTTAAGCTTATTTTGTTCAGCCAACTAGCAGGATTCAAAAATCAATATTCAAAAATTAGTAATTTGTGCTTGCTTCAACAGCACATATACTAAAACTGGAATAATTCAGAGATTAGCATGTCCCTTGCACAAAGATGACAAGCAAATTTGTGAAGCATTCTATATTGAAAAAAACACAAAAGTTTTAGTTTCTCTAAACACCACTCACTGAAAAAGATGTATGGAAAAAATTCCATTTACAATAGCTTCAAAAAATAACCAGGAATAAATCTATGAAACAAAATAATCTATATTGTTCAGAGTGAGACAGGGATTTAGTTTTAGTCTCCTCTACATGCTTATATGGTTTCCCTAGCACCTTTTCTTAAGGATCTGTCTTTTTCCCACCTATGTTTCTGGCACTTTATTAAGAGTCAGATAAGTGTAACTGTGTTTCTGGGTTTATTGTTTTATTCCATTGGCCTGCATGTCTATTTTAATGCCAGTATTGTGCTGTTTTTATTACTTTGGCCTATAGGATGTTTTAAATTGAACACTGTGATATCTCTAGCATTCTTTACTTTGTTCAGTACTTTTCTGGTTATTCAGTGTCTTTTTTATTTTCATATGGATTCTAGCTTTGTGAATTTTGATAATATTAATTCTGCTGATCCATGAACATGGGAGATCTTTCCAGCTTCTAATGTCTAACTTCTTCTTCAATATTTTATAATTTTCATTGAAGAAGGTTTTTTTTTTTAAAAAACCTCTTTCATAGATTTATTCCTGGTTATCTTCTGCTGTAGTATTCCTTTTTCATCTCTAATTTTATTATCCTTTCATGTCATTTCTTGATTATGTTTGTCTCACTTCTTTGTCTATATATAGAATTTCTTCTATAATGCTGGTTTAGTGCTCATGAATTTATTTTATGCTAATCTTAAAAGATATGTATTTCACCCTCAATTTTAAAGAATTGCTTTGCTGAACATAGTAATGTAGATCCTTCTGGTCTTTAGAGTTTCTGCTGGAAGTTTGCCACTATTCTGGTCAGTTTGCTTTATAAGTGATTTGCTGCTTCTCTCTTCTCTTTTATCCTGTATTTTTAGTAGTTTAATAATCTAGAGTACATATATACTTTAAAAATAGAGGAGCATAGTTTAATAATAATATGTTGTGTAAAGTTTCTTTTATGCATGCTATTTGCCTACCTGGATGATTTTTTTTTTAAGATTTGGGAAATTTTCTGCTACTACTTCACTGAATAGCATTTCTATGTTATTAAGTACATCCTGACTTCTAATTCTAAACAAAATATTCAGTTTTGGTCTTTTATCATGTTCCATAGTCCTTGCACATTCATAATTCAATGTCAGGGATCTCAATTCTCTAATCAAAAGACACAGACTAATTGATTGGATAAAAAATACAATCATATATTGTCTCCAGGAGTTACATCTCATTCAAAAGGAAATATATAAACTGAAAATGAAAGCATGAAAAATGATACTCTATTCAGCTAGAGCCTGAAAACAAGCAGGAAAAGCTGTCTGTTTTTCAGACACAGCCACCTTCAAATCAAAACTGTTCAGAATAGATCCTCCTGGCCTCTACTTAATGGTAAGGGCAACATTTCAACAGGAAGAGATAATAACAGTTGTAAATATCTATGCACTGAATGTCAGTGTACCCAATTTCATAATACCAAAACTACTGGGCTTAAAAGGAAAGACAGATATCCAAGGCATCAATAATTCATATTGATCTTAATCACAATTCTGGATGACAACTGAAAATTCTTGTTGTATAGAATCATACTTTTTAAAAACCTTATCTGATTTCTTCTGGATATCCTTGGTTTTTATTGGCATAAACTTGGAATTGGGAAGGAGCAAGATTGCTAAAAGAAATATCAACAATATTTCTACAATTATCAGTTAGGCCCTGAGTTGAAAGCAATGAAGTGTTTAGAAAGGATATTGAGCAGCTTAGAGGGTCACTGGAAGGACTGGAGGATAATGTTCAAGTAAGATTTCCAGGAGTAAGATCTAAAGCCAAGGTGCTAAGCAATTCGTGAGTAAACTACTGAGCAGCACCAGTAAATGCACTGCAACTACCTCTGCATTGAGTGTTGGAGCTCTTCTACTGTAAGAACCACCAGACTCAGTGTGAGCGCCCCAGACCTTTTCCCTAATGTCCTGTGTCCAGAATCTGAGTCTGACGCTCTGTCAGTGTCAAAGTGAAATACTTCACCTAAGGACATGAGAGGCTGGGAAAATAGGTATCCAATGTATTGAGCTCCTAAAGACCAAGTCTTATGTTTAAGCCAAGCCATATGAAGTGGGCATTCATAAAAAGGAATTCAAATTCATCACATGACAGATGCCTACAATAGACACAGTGAACATAGAATTAAAAAAGAAATTCCACCTACAGTACTTTGTCTGGGATCACCAAGTGAAAGCAGCCAACCTATCTGCCTTAATATTTTCCAACAGTGACACTGGGATAGATTGCCACCTTCAGTGTTCAAATACAGAATTTAAGATTTGGAGAATTTAAATGACCTGTCCTTAATCTCAGACTCACAAAGTTTTAAAGCATGAAAATGTACAGAAGTCTCTGCTTTAAAAAAACACTCTGATCTCTCTATCATATCATTCTGTGAGGTTTTTTGTTTTGTTTTTTGTTTTTTTGAGAGAGTCTCATGATGTCGTTCAGGCTGCCCTTGCTTGAACTCACCATGTAACCCAGGTTGGCTTCAAACTCATAGGGATCCTCCTGCCTCAGCCTGAGAGCTGGGATACAGGTGTATACCACCATATGCTGTTTCTGAGATGTTTTTCATAAATAGTTGTTTATTAAGTAGAACTTGGTGGTAATAATAGTTTTTAACTTCTAACAAGAACTAGCAATTTAATTGAAATAATCTCCCTTAATTTTAGGTATCTCATTTTATGGAATTTTGAAAAAATTTAAGTTCAGACATAAATAATCATGGGCACACTCCAAATGAAAGGTGAAAACCATCATTTGATGCTTACTATGCATTTTTAAAAATTAAAGTTATGCCTTAAAAGTTTTTACATGATTAATTATAGTATTATTTAGTCTTAAAAGGAATTTTTGCCATACACTTTTCTCAATTGTTTTCTTGCAAATATATGTGTATATGTATGAATATATATAGACATACATCCACATTTGGCTACATATGAAAATAGAATAAAGTTAATCTTTAATCCTTTCTGTAAATGTACAGTTATTATTAATGTTATCATTTTTCCCATACAAGGGCTCAAACTCTATAAATGAACTACATATCCAAATTGTTTTATCTTGTTAAGATAAAGTCTCACTAATTTTCTCAAGTATGACTCAAACTTGTGGTCCTTCAGCCTTCTTTACTGCTATGGTTAGATGTATGTGCTGGTGTTTCCAGTTCATCATGGGATTATTATTATTATTTTGTACCGGAGATGGCTCTCACTACCTCATGCTTGCCAGGCAGGTGCTTGTGCTGCTAAGCTCTATCACTGGCCTACCATGGCCTCTTTAATAACATGTTCACACAGGTTTATTTCTTGTGTGTAATTCTCTTTAAAGAGAATTTAATTTATTCCATTTATGAAATGAAATAGTTTAGTTGATCATAGTTTCTCCTACCTTTTTTCTACTACTATATTTTGTTTTTATATATTTTAAATTTACTTTATAAAATTTTATTTATAACTTAATAATTTCTTAAACTTTTCTGTCAACTTCAAGTTGCTCATTCTCTTTTTATATCTTCTCCTGCCTTTTCCAGATCCTTACTACTCAGCTGTACCATTTTATATTTTCAAAGTATAGTTTTTCATTCTGTTCTGTGTGTTAGTCTTTTATGCCTGGAATATGGTTACTTTTGCAGTTCAAAAACAGTAAATATTGGTTATAAGAACCATACTACAAAGGCATAGATATTTTTGCTGCAAAATTTTTGCTATTAAAGGGAGAATTAGAGTAATGTCAAATGAATTATCTTTTCTTACATTTTATTAAATTCTCAAAATCACATTATAGTTAAATTTGCTTTATATATGAACATGATTTGCTTATCTTAGTTTTTGACCCCTGTTGGGACTCCTACTTGTTTCTTCTTTATTAAAAAAAAAAAAATATATATATATATATATTTACTTTATTGCTAAGCTAATTCATCTTCATATTAATTACAGTCTCTTTAATCTCTCATAATGGTGTTTAATCTCTCATTATCTATACAAAACAACATTTTAGCCAAAAATGGACCACATGTATGACAGTGGTTCCATAAGATTAGAATTTCTAATATAACCATAATGGAGTGAAGAATCTCTATTCCCCTAGTGTTGTAACCATCTTAAAGTCTAGCACAGTGTGCTTTTCATGTGATTAAGGTTATTGTGGTATAAACAATATATGTGGGACTCGAAAAAGATGGCAGATAGACAACAGTGGGCTATAGAGGCTCCCTGAGATAGTCAAATTAGATTCCAAAAATAATACAGCATGGGGAGTTCCGAACAGAGGGAGACAGACCCTCCTGACCCAGGAACAAACTAAGCTGAGAGAAACCAATTAAAAATACAGTCCTAGTGTTACTATTGGAACAGCTACAGTCTGGTACTGCCGCTTGAACTCGCTGCTGCTGCTGCGCTGGAACCCACACAGCAGAAACTTACCAAAGTACCTGAGAGACTGCCAGTTTCAACTCATTGGAGGTGCATTAGCACTAAGGATGGGAATTGGCAAACTGAACTGAGAGCAGAGCTGAGCTAGTGCGTAACTCTGCATCGACCTGCAGTGAGTGACAGGAATAAAAACCCTTGCATAGACAAAGAGGCTCCAACAGACGATATCCTGGGACCAGGCAGACTGGCCAGAACAACGGGCTGCAGTGATTTCAGTTAGCTGCTCCCTTCTCAAGTGGAATTGGTGGGGAGCACTTGACCTGGGTCATGTCCCAAACTGAGACTCAATGGACCAGCCCAAATGAAGTCTCTATGACTGGCAGTGCACCCTAACGTAGTGAAGCCTTCAGCAGGTTGACTGAACCAGAGGGGCAGGCCCAGCATAGGCTGTTCGGGTCTGTATCTCCCTAGTACACTGCAATGAGTGGGAGCACCTAGCTGGTGCCATTCAGACAAACTGTAACCAACAAAGAAAGAA